GGCCGCGGCCGTCGCGCCAGCGCGAGGGTCGTCTGGGGCACCTGCCAGGCTGGGGACCGGGGTCAGGGAGGAGCGGCCGCCCTGAGGAGAGCAGGGCAGTGCGACATGGCGAGCCGAACCTGCCCACCGCACTCAGGGCAGAACCGGGTCAGGCAGAGCTTTGGCGTGGGCCGGGGAGGTGGGAGGGCCCTCGGCTCGGCCTCCCCTCTCCCAGTTGGGTGGGATGGGCCCTCTCTGCCTTGGCCGACCGCCGGGTGGCTCTGCCTCCAGGAGCACGGATCCTTCGCTTGCGAGCCCCTCCTCTGACTCCCAGTGCCTCTGGTCTGAAGCCTCCGCCCCGCCCGTGTGGGATGTCTCAGGTCAGGGAGGCTTGGTGGGATGCAGAAGAGGGCTGGGATTTAAGGAGTATTTCATGGAGAGGTGGTGTTTGAGCCGTAACTGGGAGAACTTCAGGAGGCGATGTGAGGAGGAGAGAGTGAAGAGCATTCCTGGCAGAAGGCCTGCGGTCCTCATGTCTGCAAGCCAAGCCCTGGGTGGGGGATCGTTGTGGTGACTGGTGCCTATGTCCAGGAGGTCCATGCCTCGGGTCACTGCCTGTGTCTGAGAGCCCTTCAGCCCAAGGGGGTAGGAGAAAACGGAGCCTGACAATGACATCAGCAACAGCCATGGAGACAGTGGCTTGGGGAGTGCGCTCCGTGTGCCAGGCCCTGCACAGCCCTTTGTGTGTGCGTGATCTCATTTCTTCCTCCGAGCAGCCCACCAAGGTTTCCTTGCTCTTCCCTTCATTCATAAGGGGAGTCAGGCGAGAGGCTGATCGCCTGGTCTGAGCCCCCACAGAGGCTAACCCAGAATGAAGCTGTGGGCTCAAATCCCAACGAGGGGACGGTGCATGTCATCAGGGGAGGCTTGTGTAGTCAGTGGGGCTTACCCTTGAGACTGAAGGTGGGGTTGAGCCCCCCAGTCTGTGCTGCTTCTCATCAGCCCAGTTGCCAGTGTCATCACCCAGGACCCAGACTTTTCTCTGCTTCTTGCTGAGACTACCTGCTGGACCCCGCACACTCCAGACCTTCCTCAGTGCTCTTTTAGTCTTCGCTCCTCTTCTCTGCTCCTGTCTGTCCAAGGATCCATCCCCTGACACCCTCAGTCGTGAGCGTGTCTTCCTTCAGAGAGGGAGTTTTTGCAGGCAAGAACCAGTTGTCTTCATCTCCCAGTCTGCACGCGTCAGGCTCGCTGTCAGTGTTGTACAGGCCCACAGGGAGAGAACTGTCTGTTCCGAGGTGCATGTGGGGGGCAGTGAGGAGGCCATGCCAGCTGGAGCACAGGGGTGCATGGGATCCAGGGAAACAAAGCTGGCCAAGGGGCTGCCCCAGTGTGAGGGGCCCTGGGCTGGGTGCCAGGGCAGGAGCTACATGAACAGAGTGGGCTTGGAAGCTGACAGTGCGGAGAGGGGTGTGTGAAGGGTCTGGGGAGGCAGATACTGCGGACAGAGGCCAGGTGGTGGCAGGTGAATTAGGGAGGGGAGAGGTGGCATGACAAGCTGGCTGTGACACTCGGCACCCCTGGCACCTGTGGTCTCTGATGAAGACAGGGGAGACAGCTGGAACCCATAATTCCTGCTCACCCTGAGTGTCAGGAAGGAGGGATTCCCAAGCTGTCCACTGCAGGAGGGGTGGGGGCCATGGAGCTACCTGACCACTGCCTTCCGTGCGGGAGCCGGTCAGTTGCTGGCTGGCCAACCAGCCTCAGGGCCTCTGTTGGCAGGACTGGTGCATCGCTGGGGAAAATCAGCCCACAGCCTGGGACCCTGGCTGTAGACCTGAGGGCAGAGTCAGGTGGTAGGAGTACTGCTGGGGGGAGGGGGGAGGGGGGGAGTCAGTGGTACCTGCTTTGCCACTTCGTAGCCCTTGACCTCACGCCAGTCTCCCAGCTCTCTGCACCTCGGTGTTTTCATCTGGAGTTGGAATGAGTCACATAGACCTCCCAGGCTTCCACGAGCATGAGGTGGACACAAGTGTGAAGTTCCAGGAAATGATGGATGCCTTATTAATGATGAGCAGCAGGTGTGTGCGCACCCATAGGCATCGGCACAGCGGGCACTTCTGCTGGAGGTATAGGAACCTGTGTGCCGGCAGGCCCAGGACATCAGGGCAGGGATGCAGGGTCTCCTGGGTTCAGTGGCGAGGATAGGAGTGGTGGATGTCTTGTCCTTGGCCTGGATCTAGACATCCCATTTGGAGTTGGTGGATGCAGGGCCTGGATGCAGGGGTCCCGCCTGAGGGAGCATCTGCTTTTATGGTTGCCACCTGGTGGATCTCTGTAAGCAGGAGGATGGGGAGGGGGCTGGACGGAACCCCTACTTTCAGAGTGCAGACCCCTCCCTTGGTGAGTCGGAGCTCCTTCACTGAGGACATGGGTTTAGCACCTGCACCCTGGGCCCAGCTCTGGGGACACTGTGGGGGCCAGACAGATGGTCCGTGCCCAGCTTCGGGCCTCAGAGGTCCCTGAGAGCGGTCAGCTGATCTCACACAGCGTGGCTAGCGCCAGGGTGTGTCTTCGGGAGCAGAAGACACTCTTGATCTGACCAGGCAGCTGGTCTACCAGGGAGGAGGGGCTGGACCCCTGCTGGTGGCCCTCTCCCTGCCCCCATCCCAGCATTTGAGAAGAAGACCTTCTGTCCCATGGTCTGGCCTCTTTCAGTCCTGGCTGTGCTGAGCGGGCCACATTCCTGGGCCCCGTCTACTCTCTCCACCCATGTTCCTGCCCTCTGGAGCAGGTTGGGGCTGTTTGGAATGGCCTCAGCTGATTTCCAGCCCCCACCCCGGGAGCCAGTCTGGTCTGCCTGGGGGGAGGTCGGGGAGGACCTCTGGAGAGCCTCAGCCCCTCGCACATCCTGTTGCTGTGGCCGGTGGGAAGGCCTGTGTGTTGGGGTTGGGTGGGTGGAGCAGCAGGAAGGTCCCGTCCTTCCTTCACCCTCTTCCTATAGCTGAGCCAGTCCCACCCACCCGCATGTGCTGCGGTGTGTGGAGGGACGGGCGGGGCAGCAGAGGAGGCTGCCATCCTCCCTTGCCTCTGCTCACAGTGCGTGCTGGCCTGGGCCGGGCCTCCAGGCGTCGGAGCCTGGCACTGGTGACGGCCACTGCCAGCGGATGACAGAACGCGTGCTCTGTGTTCTCTTGCCCTGTGTTCAGGCCTGCAGCCCCCACACGGCTGGCTGTGGGGACATGGTTGCAAGAGGAAGTACTTGTCCCCATCTGTGTCTCAGGGGACTTTGGTGCCCTTCCTCTTAAGGCTCCCCGAAGAGTCCCGCCCCGGGACACGTGATGGTGCTTGTTGGATTAGTTCTATCCCCGAGGCCTGAGGGGATGCCCTCCCTGCTATCCCGAGGTGCAGGAAGCTTGGTGGGGCAGGGAACTCAGCCACTGCAGGTCACCTCCATGGCCACAAGGGCTCCAGTGGGTGGGGAACACTGAGAGGCATGGCAAAGTAAACCGCCGCCCCCCCCCCCCCCCCCCCCCCCCCC